CTGTATAATTTATATATTAAATAACAAAAACTTCTTGGCAATAATTAAACAGTATTACAAAATGCATTATAATTACAGAAACTGAACTTTTTAAAGTTCTTCAAATTGGAGTATGAGTGAAAAACAAATATGAAGCAAATCTTATAAATGCAAAACAACATATTTCAAATACAAATTTTATTTGATTCTGTCTTGTAAATTGATTACTTAATAAAGATTTGTTTTTACTTTTATTTGAATTATTCTTTCTCTCTACATGCCTAAATCTTTTATTTTACTTAACTCTGATATTACACTTTAATATTCCAAATACTTTAACAATTCATTAGAAGTAATAGCTTTCAAGAAGTATATAATACAAAGAATTTAAAACTATAACATCTTCAGATTTTAACAAAATGTAATTGCTTTCTTTGATGATAAAACTGCATTCTTTAATAATTTAAACTGCAATCTTTTATGTAACTGTAATTAATATAAAAATATATACCATATTTCCTGAAGTCTAAGATGCCAAAATAAAAGTTTAAAATTCAATTTTAAGATTTTTTTTATGAACGGAAAACTTTTAATAATTTTAATAAGTTTTGTTTAAGTAATAAGTTAGAAAAACAATATGAATTCCATAAAAGAGACTGAGTTTAGAAGCTTTATTTCATTACTTGTCTGCAAATACAATAGCTATTCATTTTAATGCATGAAATCATAATGTCATCTTGAAATGCACATTTTAAACATTAAAAAAAATTTAAATTAAACACTTTAGCAAAGATTATTTGAACTGATGTAGTATTGAGCAATATAGCTGAAAACATTTATTATTATTGCATAATGCATCACATGGTCTACTTGTTATGACTGCTAATTGTTTTAGAATATGAATGTAGAATGTCATTGATTCTAAGATGCACCTCTATATCAGGCAAGTAAAATGGGGTAAAAAAGTGATTCTTAGAATTGCAAAACCACATTATAATAATATAATTATTTCTATAAATAGATGATTTTTTTAATTAATTATTAAATAACTTACCAAATCAGTTCTAACAATTTGAATTTCAGTATTGTTTTGTTTTGAAGTTATTTTTGTAACTTCTGTGGCATATTTATTTTTGTCTGTAGCACTAAAGAAATAAAATAATTAATTAAAAGCTTGAAAAAATGAATTTAAAATAAAAAAATTTTTTTAGCTCACATAAATAATGCTGAATTGTTTAAAGCTTTGGCAACAGCCGTAATTACAACTCCACTTCCACATCCCACCTCCAAACAAATAACTGGGCTTAAAAAATGCAAAATTTATTATTTTAAAGTTAGTAATTAAATAAGATAAATATTTTTATCATCATATAGGATTGTTATTTTTTACTTAGGAATAATTTGTAAATTATCCTACATAATACTATGGTAAAAAAAAATCTTGAAAGGAGATATAACTTAAATTTATGTAAGAAACCAATACAACAAATTTACACAATTATTATATAAAAAATTTTGTTATTTTATATAATATTTTTATCTCAACAAATTTTGAATAAAAAGTATATTTTCCAATGATGTGGTTTTATATAACAGAATAAAGATTGTATTAACAAAAGTCAATTTATTTAAAAGGGATAAAAAATATCATAAAATACTGTATAAAGAATACAAATACAATAACAATACTGCTTTATTTAATTTTAACTGATTCTATAGTTCTATCAATTCATGATCTAAATCTGAATGTATTGTTTTTGAAAACAATATTGAATCATTTAAATTACTTTTGTTTATGAGTCATGCCTTAAGTAATTTATGCATATAGTGTGATTCATATGCAAAGGTAAGTAGTAGTCCACGCACAAAAATTTATCTTTGTAAACAAGAAAATATGTCACATATATTTGCTATTGTATCTTATTTTCAAAAAAGTTAAAAGAAAAAAACTATATTTTTGAATTCTAATGTAATAAGATGTGTTTCAAATTTATACGGACACGAAAAAATTAATGTGAAACCTAAATTTGCTGCATTAAGTGACAAATGTTTTATTAAAAATAACTTGGATTTACTTGTTTCCACACTGCAAAATAAGAATTTTAATCAAACATTAACATTTTGTCACTGAAAATAATATTTTTGAAAATTTTGTACAAAAAACTGTTACATATTTATGCAGACAGGCACTCATTTCATTTACTTAAATAGAATATTGTTTAGTTTCAAGCATTGAAATATGCAAATCAGCTTACATATCTAATTGTAATACAAATTCTTTATGTTGTTCAACATTCTAAAATGGGTAGAACAAAGAATTTATGAAAGATTGATTATGAAAAAGAGCAGATTGATGCCTATAAATCACAAGGCAAGTCAATAAGAGAAATTGAAGCAAATATAAATCATCCAAAATCAACTGTTGGTGATTATTTATCAAAAAGACATGGCTAGGGTGTACCAAAATTCAAGACAGGTCCAAAACCCAAGCTTATACCTGGAGATTGAAGACAAATCATCAAGGTTTGCTCCACAAAACAAACATCAGTAAGAAAAATAAAACAAGAATTAGACTTACCTTGTAGCAGCACAACAGTGTGGAGAGTTTTAAATAAATCTCCAACGTTAAAACTCAGAAAAAAGCTATAATGCCACCACTTTCATTAAAGCACAAAAGTGACAGACTTGATTGGGCACAAAAACACATGGCATAGTCCAAAGAATAAATTGAAGTTTCGTTCAGTGATGAAAAACAATTCATCTTAGCTGGTCCAGACGGTTGAAAGTATTATTGGCACGATTTTAAGAACCAAATAACAAATATTTTCAAAACGCCAAATGGGTGGGGGATCAATAGCTAGAAGCCCTGACCTGAATCTGATGGAAAATCTTTGGGGGATGATGGTTCATACAGTTTATGCCAATGGAAAGCAGTTTTCCCACAATTCGTGATTCGAAGGCAGCAATTTCAGATACTTGGGATAAACTTAAGATTGAATTCCTTCAGAATCTAATTGAAACAATGCCTAATCGAGTATTTAATGTAATTAAGTTAAATTGGCCATTAAATTGTAAGAAAACTTTGCAATTTGAAACCTGTCCAGATAAATATGTAACAGTTTTTTTGTACAAAATTTTCAAAAATATTATTTTCAGTGACAAAATGTTAATGTTTGATTAAAATTCTTATTTTGCTGTGTGGAAACATGTAAATCCATGTTATTTTTAATAAAACATTTGTCACTTAATGCAGCAAATTTGGGTTTCACTTTAAGTTTTTCATGTCCGTATAAATTTGAAACACACCTTATGTATAATGATACAAAAAGCAATAGTATTTAATTATTTATCGTTTACACATTTCTAATTTAAGTGACATATCATTGCTAATACAAATAGAACCTGTGATCAATTCAATCTGAACCAATAAAACCAATCACACCATATCATATTTATAGCTAAAAAACTAGACTTTATATAATTTAAGAATTACAATGTTTAAAGTAAATTAATATTCATATGGACACTATTACTCAAAAAGAGTTTCAATATAGGCTGGTGTTTGTTTAAGGTTTTTATTTTCCCAAGTTCAGCTTAATCAAGCATCATAAAATGTCATAGATTCAAATAAATTCAAGTGTATGTCAAAGTCAAATTTTACACACATTCTTTTTAATTAAAATTGCTTATCGTGGTAATGATTATCACGTAACGTCATAAATAATCGTAATGAATTAAATTACTTAGAGAAATTGATAGCATTTGTTCTTACTTTAAATTTTTTATTTTATCTAAATCGTGTTCGATGGCATCCAATAAAAGAAATGTATCTTCTGCCGGTTCGTAGACGTGATTAAACATCCATGTAGGGACGTTACTCCAATCGGGAGTTTCTAATTTTCCCATGTTTTTTATAATTCCACGAAGCAGCAATTATGTGTTTAAAAATTTTACTTTATGCACGTGGTCTAAAAATTTAAGCATTTCCAAAAATTGACACTAGATGGCACGAGTTCTCATATAAGAATAAATGGATATTTTCTAGTGATGTAACGAATATTCGGTTACTATTCGGTATGCGGCCTATTTTTCACTATTCGGTCGAATACCGATTATTTAATCATTATTCGGCCGAATACTGAATACCTAAAAGCAGGAGTAATAAATAACAAAAACACAGTAAATTAATCATTTTGTTATTTAGATTTAATATTATCGAGTTAGTGTTGTTTGTTTATATTTATTTATAACTTGTAACATGCACAAAATAAAAAAGAAAATAATATTAGTCACATGTATTCACAATTTATAATTGCAAAGATCAGCACACGTACACGTCTATCGTTGGAGAATCGTCGCACATCTGAGGGTCTGACCCTGCCTATCCTTCTTTTTAAGCGCTCNAATGACAGCGTGTGTAGCCTTGCCCTCCACTTTTCGTATTAGCTGCAACTCGATATTTCTTGAGAAGAAATCTCATCTATGGAAAGTAACTTTTCTTTACAAATTACGAACTGATTACGTGATTACGAACTGATCTGTTAGTGGTGTCTTTTATTCAGATATCGCAGACGCCTTACCAACGACTCCTCTCATCCTCCGTCACTCGACCTGACAAACCAATCCCCACCTCACGGGATCAAAAGAACAAAAACGCCATCCAGTGAGCAGTTTCTACCAAACCGTTGCCTGAAAAAGAGGTACGACCGTGTCCTACCTCCACAAATTATTTGGCGATAGACTGTCGCCTTTTTGTCGACATCGCCTTCTTGGGTGTCGTTTCGACCTCCACCAAAGCTTATCTGTGCTTGTCGACATACACCGGCGATTGTTCGAATGTATAATAATATAAACAAATATTCGGACTTTCACCTACGTATTTTGTATGTGTCGACATTCACCAGAGAATATCGACATTCTCTAATTTCAATCTTTCACAGTAACATATATACTGTATAATTATATTATAAAAAAGAAGTTATTTCAATAAATTTCATAAATGTAAAGTATGATATTTAAAGTAGAATACTTTAAATTAAATAACTATCTCAAATAACCAATTGGTAGCCAGATAGTGCAACTACAAACAATGAAATTCCAAAGGATGTGAAATCGTAGGAGACACAATAAAAATATTAAAAACAGAAACATTTACTGAAAGGCAATATTATGAACATTTTAAAATTATGAAAGTTATAGAATTAATGACAATTTGGAAAGGAAAGTAAGTGAATCCTGGCTACCAGTTCTCACCAAGAAGAATTGCTGTTAACCAATACTATAGACCTGCTTAACAGAGTCACATAAGGAATTATTTGTCTGTGTGAACCGTCAGTAGATCCATAGAAGAAATTGTAATCAGATGGATGTATGAACAGTTAGCAGTATACACTCATGTTACCTTTAATTATTAAGTTAAATATTGCAGGTTTGTTTTTCCTTTTGTAAATTATTATATATTAAGTTAAGGCTAAATGTTAAATATAATATTTTGCAATTGTTATAGGTATCTGTAGTTATGTAATAGTGGCTGAAGATAGTCTAGTAAAGACTGAAATGCATTCCACAAAAAAAAATTGTCTCCTTTTTTTTGATGTGATCCCAACTTCCTTACAGTCCATTACAGTTTGATAGACCAAGTATATCGCCACCAATTGGTTATTTCAGATAATTATTTAATTTATTAGAGGCAAGAAGCTTACGACTATATTCTAGTAAAATAATTTATTTCTTTCTTTTTAAGATTTCTACTTGTTTCCATCTTTTTAACTTTTTTACAAAATTCTCATGTACTTTCTTAGTACAGCATATAACACAGAGTGAACTTGGATAATATTCTAATTCTTCGAGTTCTTTTAACCTCTGTTGAATAGTTTCAAGACTGTACTGAAAAATCCTTGTAGAATTACATACCTGTTGTGCATTAAACCCCTTCTCGAATAAGAAATCTAAGATCTAAAAACAAATTAATAATTTTACAGTTAAATCATTTGAAACTTAAAATTTATACTTATAAGGGAGTGCAAAAGTAGGTATACAGTTGAGAATCTGTGAAATACAAATGTTTGGTGTTCATTATTGTTATTTTTATTATCTATTATTATTTTGTATTCCTTATTGAATAGTCTCATCTCTAAAATTGCGCTGCTGTCAACAGCTGCACACTTTAGAGCTGTGTTTCTCAACGGGGGCAATATCGCCCCCATGTGGGCATTTTTCCATGTTGAGGGGATGATTAGTAACAATTTATATTTTGGAGGGGCAAAAAACAATTTTCTGGGCGATATAGTAAAACATTATATTAATAATAATTAGATATTTTATTCGTTATATTGCACAATAATTAAACAAATAACATTATACTAGTCACTAGTCTATTCAATGCAGTACGAATTTGGCGTTAGCCTTGGCCCTCGGCATCGGAATTTTGAAGTGAAGGGGGGAGATATTATATAACGGTCTTATTGAAGAGGACAACGATTCGTTAGAGGTTGATAAACACTGCTTTAGAGGTATGAAGGAGTACAGTACATGTCAGGTATTGCAATTTGGCACAGAGTATTGGTGCCTGAATCATGCACACATAAAATAAACCATATCTGTATGTAGTCAGGGAACCGAGAATTGGGTCAAAAGAAAATACAAAATGCTGAGACTGTTTCTATAAACAGGTGCGAGTGCGAGATTTGCACATGCATTGCTCTCACTATTTGAGACAGTCTCATCTCAAAAATGACTTCACTGTTTAACTTGTTTGTGATTTAATTTGTACATAAAAATAAATGTTGTTTCTTCCTATTTTCTCCCTGTATGCTTTTTTTCCATAATAACAACTGTATATCTACTTTGCACCCCCTGTATACATATTATTATTTAACTTATTACAATATAGTAGTACCTCATACTTCAAATGCTAAATTTAACAACAATTTGCTTTGGAGTTTGAATGACAGATACTTCAAAGTTCAAACTGTGCTGAAGTGAAAAAATGCATTCAATGTGTAAGTGCAATCTGTTGTCTAAAGTAATCTCTAGCTCTCACGTTATGCTAATTTGTTTATAATGTTTTTTCTGCTTTATTTTTGTTATGTTCAGTTATATATTTGTTAGGCTCAAAAACTGAAAATTATTACTAAGCAAAAAAATCAACCACGATCGTCCTGGCTTCTCAGACCCAGCCACAACACAAATTTCATGTTGTTTTGGCATATTCAATAAGACCATGTATCAATATTCCTTTAATAATCAACCAAAATGCAATCTGCCAATATAAAAATACCACATGTGAGTGCTACAACAAATGTCTAAACATGGTGGTACATACATCAAAAAATAGGTTATAAGCTATATCACTGCAACAATAAACAGTTTTCTTCTGATGTTATTGTCTCATTTTACAGTCAATTGGAAGTTACTTTGTGGATGCACCTTACATATTAGCATTTATGAGACTATGGACTAATTCCAATGTAGCATATGGTGGTATTTTTATTTTTAAAATTTCATGTTACGGAAAATCATGCATTCAATTTTAATCAAATATAACTAATTATGAAACATTTTCAAATTATTAAAACAGTGACCAATTAGACTTTTATTGTATATCAAAATGAATTAAAATATAAAGGAATAAAATTTATTTTAAATAAACTGAATAGACAATTCATTAACAAATTCTAAGCTCATATAATTTTTTAATTATAGTATGGACAATGGATTCATTATATAGGTTTTCAACAAAAAGAAAAATATGATTTGTAAGAAATAAATAACTCAAATTTTTAAATGAATAGACTAAAGTTTAAATAAAACTGAAATAAGGAACTGACAAATAAATTCTTAATTCTAGCAGAAGATAGAAGCTGGAATATAAGGATAAAGAATTAATTGATACAGAAGCAACATTTTTCAAAATCAAAACATAAAATAAAAGTCAAATATAAAAAATTAAATTTAAATTCTTAAATCAATCAACTTTATGTTTATTTTTCATTTTTGATATGTGAGGACTCAGATTTATTGTTTCATAACCCTGTACCTCCTATCTTGGAAAAGGTTTATTCTCTCTCTGTATGGTGCATATATACAGTAGGTAGTAGATGGTAGAGGACTCTTTGGAGAAGAGCACAGAGCCTAGAGAAAGAACAGAAAGGTTTGATCTTGTTAGTATAGAAAAAGCACCTTTTTGGAAACAAATCACAATGAATCTTTTAAAAAGAACCTTGTGTCCTTGAGGCACAGGTTATCCATTCTGTCCTGCAATCCCCCATTCCAACTGATCTTGGTTCCTCATTCTTGTCCTTTGATTGGTGTTACCTGTTGTTCCAGGCATAATTTGGCCAATTTAAGTCACAGGAGAGATTGATCATTGATGTTGAACCTGACACTGAATTTTCTGATCCCAACTGGAGATGATTGATCATAGGATTTACATTTTTTATTTATTTGCATCACATTTATTTTATAAAGTATTTTTTGTTCTGTCTCACTCTTAAATCATTTATTTTTCTATAAAAAAACATTTTTAAACACATTTAGCAAGATATTCAGACCCTGTCTGGAGCCTCACAGAAAGAAGATGAATACAAAGTAGGAGTAAAAATAGAAAAGAAAATTTAAAAATAAACCTGGTATTCCTGTATGATAAGTTCTATACAATAACTTTGTGCTTACTACTAATGATCTCACAGTCACAACCAAGGGACAGTGATCCAAAAAGTTTGAGAAGCACTTGATGATAAATATTTTTCTGAAAGGCTTAAGGCCAACATATATTTTCACATCTAATAAGATAAAATAGCAAATAACAAAAGATAAAATAAACAAAAAAATAGAATATTAGATTTTAATTAGAGACTAAATATTAAATTTATAACGGATTCCTTCTATATGTATGTTCAATGCATTCTTAAATTTAAGCCTGTGTAAGATTTTCATAATTAAATAAGCCTATTCTTAACTGTCACTATAAATACTGTCATATTTGTATTTATAAGTACCATTTACAATTACAATATTATTTCCTCAGATTTTGGAGTGGGGTACAGTAATTGTAAATACCAAATTTTGCAGTTTATATGGTACACAACCAAAATAGGAAGATAAAAATTTTACCTTAGGGTATGCTTTTATTAATATAAAAATATGGTACAAAATCTCACTAATTGACAGCAGCACTCACATCAAAGATGACAGCACCTAATCTTGAAGTCAAAAATATTGACATCTTGTTTTTAGTAAACAAAATAAAATGTTAAATACAAGTACAGGATAATAATAAAGACATTCATAAATAAAGCACTGCTTACACTTTTTAGAGTCTGCATCAGATTTTTAAACTGTTCTACATGATAGGGGGAATTTACAATTATCCCAATCAACCTTATAAACAAAAGATATTAATCAAAGGCAATCATTTTAAAAGACCCATGGATGTGAGGTTCTGAAGTTTCATGATGATAAATTTCATATCTAATTTTGAGGACATTTTTAAAAAGAAAAAAAATTATGTAATGGTTTGCTCTGAAATATGCATTCCATTGCAAACTGACAAAAGTTAAAATATAGTGACAAAACCTATGATCTGATTGGAAAGAAAGCTACAAAAACATTTATCAACAATCAACAAATGATCTCTTCATAGTAAGTTTTTATGATTTTTTATTTCATGGGGATAAGAAATTACTAAACATAATGCTCGGGTATATAAGTTACAAAGTTACCGATGATATTTTAAATTAAAAATTGAATTAGAATTCACTGAAATAATGAGTGCATTTAAATATTAAATTCAATTTAAAATAAGACATTTGAAAACAAAATAAGAAAAAGGATAAAAATTTGTTTTATTAATTAAATATATCAAAACATAAATTACAAATGAAACAGTCTTATTGAAATTAAGAAAACAAAATAATGTCTGAAGCATTTTCAGGCATTTTTTATAGCACTTTAAACTTCACTTTCAGAGAAAATATATAAATTTCAAATTATTTTTCCCAAAGACAAACTTTAAAATGCTTGAGAATTGATACTTTTGTCATTTTAAGTTCAATAAAGCAGTTTGTTATTTATTATTAGTTGGTCTAAATTCCAAAGATTTATTCACTTAACATACCTCTTTTACTTTCAATGGATGAACAGTTAGCAAACGTGGATTTCTCTCGCTTAAAACACATATATATTCTTTACTGCAGTTCAATCTTTCTGCCAAATAGTCAATTATATTATCGTGTTTTCCTAATGCTTTAACTTTCTTCTTCCACCTCGCTAACGAATTATTAAAAATTTTTTCTGTCGAACGTAGTAACCAAGTCTTTATGGGAGCACCGATTAATTGAATCGTTTTCATTCTTTGAGCCATTATCTCCTCATTATGTCTAAAAATCCACAGATCTTTACAAATAAGTTCAGAACTAACATTAGCATTTTTTAACATTTTCATGATATTTTTAACTTTTGAAAAATCAACATAGATAAGAAATGGATATTGTCCTATTAATTCATATAATTTTCCTACATTCACTTCCAGGTTTTCGCACAGATATTGAACTCTTTCCGGTATATTTTCATTTAATGGTTTTCTACTAAAAACTTTTATCACAGTTTTCAGTTTTTCACAACTAATAGGCAGTAAATGTATAGAATTTTCATCAATACCTATTTCTTCAATAAGTTTTAATTTTACTTTGACAGTATTTAAAGAATTTAACAACAACCAAGGCGAGTTGCTTATACATTGCTTGCTTATACCTATTTTTTCTAAATGAAGCGATATATCTTTTACATTGTTTATTCTGTTTTTAATAAGCTTCGGATTTTCTTTAAGTATTTCCATCGTTTCTTTTTCACTCCATCCAAACATATTTTGGAATTCCACCATACGAGACTTGGTGCTTTCATAACCTGTACACACGCTCCTCCTACATGTGACACTATAAACGGCACAAGGTAATTTAATTGATGTACAATACAATAATTGATTAAATACTGCATAGTTAACATTGTTTTTCACTAATATTTTCCCAGTAAAGACAATACTTCTAAATAAATATTTCATCTTAAAGTATACATTAACATAAGAGCATACAACTACAACTTCCACCACATGTGTATAAAATCTTATTTCCAGAAGTGCCACTAGGGGCGCTATTTCAAATGCAATTTTAAGATAAAAAGGTTAATAGAATTTATTTATATAATTAATTTAATTGTATTTTATAATTATTTAATATTTCAAATTTAATTTAATTTAATTATTTGTAATTTAAAAAAAATTACTGAAATTTCAATTAAATATACAGTATTTTTGTGAGTAACGATTATTTTATTTTTTTATTGGGTTTTTATAATTATCGTAGAGTTATTATTATATTGTTCATAATTAATTCATTTGTCACTTTAATAAACATTATTTTAATTTATAATATTTATTTCTGAAGCATTTCGGATGTAAATATTTAACTTTAATTAATAATTCAACAGAAATCTAAAGTGAAATGGATACGAGAAAACTTTTATTTTATAGTCATTATGGGTTCGGCTAAGACCTAAATGTTGTGGGTAATGTATTCAGAATAGATTACCTATATTTATCCGGAATAGGATAGGATTGATAGAACAAGGCAATGCAACACTTGGGCGATCTATTAACGGGGAAGTGCCTTCCGGAGGGACTTTCTGTAAGAAACCATTGTAGGCCTGGCCGAACCCATAATGGGATTGCTAAAAGAAGCCCTCTTAGTGTCCACAGGACGAAAAGAGTTAAACATCTCGGTCATTTGACTAGAACAATGGTTCCCAAACTTATTATGCCCACCGACTCCTTCTCATAGCAAAAACCTGATCAGAACATCCAAGTGAAATAACTCTATACAACTACATAATAGCAAAATTACAAATTTAACTTTGATGTCTTGAATGGTGAATGGTGACGTAAAAATAAAATATAAATAACACATTTTTATATTTAAAGTAATATTCATTGAAATTACTAGCTAAAGCTTGCCCGTTTTTGAATANGATACGAGAAAACTTTTATTTTATAGTCATTATGGGTTCGGCTAAGACCTAAATGTTGTGGGTAATGTATTCAGAATAGATTACCTATATTTATCCGGAATAAGATAGGATTGATAGAACAAGGCAATGCAACACTTGGGCGATCTATTAACGGGGAAGTGCCTTCCGGAGGGACTTTCTGTAGGAAACCATTGTGGGCCTGGCCGAACCCATAATGGGATTGCTAAAAGAAGCCCTCTTTGTGTCCACAGGACGAAAAGAGTTAAAAAAGAAAAGAAAAAAAAAAGCCATTTGATACAGTGTAAACACGTGGATTTCAGTGCTTTATCTTCTCGGGCATTAGCATATTCGAAACAGATTATCCATGAAAAATTTCTGGTGTTGCTCGGGGGAACTGGAACTAATCCCCAAAATAACACCAGAAATTTAAAAATGAGCGATTGGCTGACGCCTTAAACATCTCGGTCATTTGACTAGAACAATGGTTCCCAAACTTATTATGCCACCGACCCCTTCTCATAGCAAAAACCTGATCAGAACATCCAAGTGAAATAACTCTATACAACTACATAATAGCAAAATTACAAATTTAACTTTCATGTCTTGAATGGTGAATGGTGACGTAAAAATAAAAAATAAATAAAACATTTTTATATTTAAAGTAATATTCTTTGAAATTACTAGCTAAAGCTTGCCCGTTTNACAAGTAATAATTATAACTGTCTTGGAAAGAAAAATGAAATAAATGTATAAAATTCTATAAACAAACAAAATAAATTCTAAAATGTCATAATGTATGCAAAAAAGAAAACATAGAGCCCATTTTCAAAATGAGCAAGCTTTAGCTACTATTCCCACTGTGCAATACTTGTCATTACTTGTATTTTATGTACTTATCTATACCTATATTTTACTCAGGACGTAAAAATGATTACCAAAAAATCCAGGGGTCCGTAGGAACCATTTTGGGAAACATTGGACTAGAAGAAAGGTTGACAGTTATCATTAATCCGGTTTTCTTTAAGCGGAGTTTGGTCTATACCAGGCATGGCCAACATACGGCCCGCGGGCCGTATGTGGCCCGTGTAATGGATTTATATGGTTCGCGATTAATCTTTCAGTATTAGCTACTCAAGTCAGAATAGATCGGTGAAAAATTCTAACGCTTAAACAAAAAAAAAAAAAGGTCAACAACTCACTGTGCGTTTAGAGTTAACCCTCCATTACAAATGTCTTGAGTACAGCGTAGAACGTTGATAAAGCATGATAATGTGAAAAATGTATCTGTAATCTCTATGTACAATTTAGTCTCTACGGGGTGATACCATAATTAGATCTTGCACCACCTCAAAATCTTCCTAGGGCAGCCTCTGGTTCGGCCCGTGAAAAAAGTTTTCTTTCCAATTCGGCCCGGGGGCAAAAACTGTTGGCCACCCCTGGTCTATACTAAAGCGTAAGCTTTCTGTCAGGACCATGGAGCTATAATACCTAATGGAGTGGCAGCGCTTTGTTGCTATTAGCGGAGTACTCGAAGCCAGAAGTGGCTTCACTGTAGAACAAACCGCCATATTGTGAGGGGAAGAAAGTTTGTTTTGATTTTAAACTCGACGTTGAAAAAGAGGAGTATTAAAAAGATAGAAACAAAACGCGATTGTAAATATGTTTTTGTAAATTGTGTATTTTTTCCACCTGTAAAAAATAAATAGAATCAAACCTCGGTATTCGAAAAATTCGGTTCTCGAACAAAATTTCGAATCCATATTTGACTCGGTTGTCGTACGATAACTCGGTTGCCGAACAAGCTAATCGGCAAGAGCCGGTCACAGTTGGTCAATTATCTATACTTCCTATGTTAAAGAAAGTCGACAGCCCGACCAATCAACGATAAGACTACCGATGCAGAAGTTAGTGGCGCCGAGATCGCCTTGCACCATTAGACGTCACGACACAAATCTTTTCTTTTCAGGTGTTGTTTATATGGAGATTTTAGCTCAATATAGGCTCTTTCTCCGATTAGACATGTGTGTATGATCGCTATGCGACCGATTTGCCAACCGTATCCGAACGGCCTATACGTACGCGCGGGAAATAATGCCTTCCGGGAGGACTTTTATGGGGAACTGGCCTCCTATTCAGTCGTTATTGGCAAGGAGAAAACCCGGAAAACTCCAAGCAGCCAGCCTGTCCGATCGCGGCGCGAACCCACGACCGAACTTCCCAGTGTTTAGGGTCTGGTCACCGCTACACGACACGAATCATCGATGACGTTGCTATTTAAATTACATTTCAATGCGCATGAGAGAAAAATACTACTTCCGATTTTCGGTAAGCGCCGCAGTAAAATCAAAATCAAATTAATAAATAAAAACCACGTTAATTGACATTCACGTGATATAAATGGCATACAAGAATTCGTGTTTAAATATGCTTAAATTAATTAAATTAAATAACAAAAATTTATTATATTATATATTATAATATTAATATTATACTNTAGAATTTTTATCCATGAAATACAACTAAAACGGTTAAAAAAGGCTTTGTTTTGTGGGTCGAAAACGGATTAACCCATTTTATATCGTTTCTTATGGGAAAATTTGTTTCGGTTTTCGAACAACTTTTACGAACGAATTTTGTTCGAAAACCGAGGTTTGACTGTATTTATATATTATTAGCAGATATTACCCTTTTTTTTATAATAAAACCATTCCTTACACGTTTCTCTCTCTTTTTATTTATTTGGTTGTTGTAATATTAATTTATTACAAATTTTTATATTTCTTGAATAGGAATACTAGTATAAAATGTAATACAGTCGACCCCCCTATAACACGGGTTCCTATAGTTCGGATTTTTATATCACGGCGAAAAAATTGCGACAGTATTCGTACAAACATGCTAAAAAAACTCCTATAATTCGATAAAACGTCATCGTCGACTCGTGTCGCGATAGGATTGCACAAACCGTTGAGTTTAAACGAGCAGCGGACCTACTAAAAACCATTTATCATTTAATGTCCATAAAAATTATATTTATATTAATTATGTCTCCAAAGTTCAGCGAATTTTTCGATAAAAAATAATTTATCAGGAAGCACGCGAGCGCCATTCGATGACAATCTCCACGACGAAAACAAGCTTAAGCAACGGCGTAGTCGAACGGTGCACATTCTGTAAGTAATCCTACAATTTTTTGTTTATAGAATAGTTTATATGGATTATCCCCAAAAACTTATACGTATTTTGGAAATGTTGAGTCGAATTAGTCTAGAATCGATTAATTTTATGGAAGAAATCTTTCAAACAGCCGTAGTCCGTAAACTGCATACGTGCGGGCTGTGATTGACTGGACTCCTAGAAGCTGGATTCATAAATCTCGGAACGTATCTACCGTGTTATAGGGGGTCGACTGTACTATATCATATTAAATTTAATATATACTTTAAAAAAAACCTTCTTTCCACCTTGTGACATTAAGAGGACTTTTTATCAAGCTCATTATAACTTCTCCTAGGCCCGTAATGGGATGTCAGGGTGGTAAAGGATGGCATGACATATATAGACAAACAACCCCTGAAAAATTCCTTTGGTTTTTCGACCCGTCAGAATTCAATTCCTCGTCCCTAGAGCAGTAAGCTGCTATCTTAATCAATCGGCCATCGGCCGTCGAGTGGAGTGTACTACATTTCGTATCTAAGTACCAAACTGAATAACATTGTGTATCTAATCTAATTGTAACTAGTGCTACGTATAACATAATACAGATTTTCTTATTGTTCCATTTTAATTTGCATTTCCTTGATATTTAGATATTTATGAAGGGAATTTAAGGATAGTTTTGCTTGTCGGATACCATTTAATATGAATCAGCGTTTAAATAACAGTATTAACAAAATAGCACTATTTTCAATCACCCTTGTCATTATGATATTAGTGGCATTATTTACCTCCACAAATCATAAATGTTACGTTATATTAGTGTATTGTTTCAGGTTGATTTCCGCAATTACTATAATTTTGTCAACGTTCTAGTTCCTTATTGTTTAGCGGTTATGTATAATTATTCATAAATCATCATCAGAATTAAAACTGATGACTCTTTTCCTATACTGAACATTTTATGGTTATTTGTCTATATTTTTAATTATATAAAAGTAATAAACTCGTCTATCAATTGGTGTTTTCTGGTTCCATATTTCCGTTAAGCACATTAAATTTAAGGTGCAATCCGATTCGGTGTAAAGATAATGTTGATTGTAGTTGGTTGACGATTCGGATGATTGAATTCGTTGTATCGACGGGAGATAAATATCGAATACATTTAGGTTAATTGAGATAGTCACGATTATAGACCTATTTCCTGTTAGGTCTGTTCATTTAGATAATGTCAAATTATATAACCCGAAGATAATAGTCTATTCGCGTTTCTAGCGCACACCACTTTATTAAATAACTATAATTTAAATTCAGAATATATATATTTTTTGTAAATTATTAATATATAAACAAAACAACAATTTTAGATAATCAGAAAAGAACATTTTCAAATTTCAATATAAATTGTTTATCCAGAAAGTTAGTTAGCATAAAAATAAGTCCTGTTATAATTAAAAATTATTATATTATGATGTTTATATAAGAAAATTATATATTGCTTCTAATTATTTTACTAATTAGATAGTTAAAATATATGAACACACTTTAATCCAGATGCATTTCTGAAGGTTGGAAGTAAATTAGTGCAGACACAATAAATTATGACGCTAATGCAATCTGAACAAATCTTTTTATCTTATTAATAATTTTAACACGAATGTTGTTATACATTTTAATAGCCAAAAACGTTAGAAAAGTAAATAAATTTTTTGCTGGAATAGTCTGAAACTCTTTTTAATTTTATATTTAAATATCAATAGTTTGTTCATTAGTGTATTGTATTTAACCTTCCAAACTTAATCATGTTATCTATAAATAGTTATTATTTCTGTTGATGATAAGTGAGTTATTATATAAGCTATAATGATTCACCAGAATAGGAAATGAAATTGTAAACAGTTTGTTCTTTAAAACTAGAATTTATATTATGATTTATATCTACATTAACTATGATTATATAAAGTTATTATAAAAGCATTCAGAATGTACTTTAAAAGTATAAAGAAAATATAAGTTTCTGAGGAAGTTTTTCGCAAGCCATAACTTACATAAATACAGTATTTGTATGAACAATTTAAAATACCAAATATAATTATAGGTTTATTAAATACATTTTAAAGATTTACTATTAAATTAAAGTGAAAGAATTTGAAATAATAGAAAATACAATAAAGAATTGTATGTAAATAAAAATTTATTATTATTATTATTTTTTATTTGTTGTTTACAGAAGTAAATTGAATTGTATATACTGTACATATATAGCCTATATTTTTTTTCTTCGGGCAAATAAATATTGAATTCTGAAGAAAAATAATGTACTTTTGAAAATGTCAATACTTTTTATTAAAATTAATAAAGTAATGATTTCCATTAATTTAAGTTTATTCAAAAATTGAATCTAAATTATATTTTCTCTTAAAGCATTTAGTCATAATTGCAGTTAACAGATGGCTGTAGCGATTTATTGTACGAAATAATTGAATAAAGCACGGGTAACGAAGTTACTGTGCAATTTTCATTCGTTTATTATATTTTATTTTGAATACAGGGCGAGGGGGAAGGAAAAAAAATGAAAAGGAAAATATCATTTTAGAATGCCACAATTATTTTATTTTTGGAACCTTATTAAGATTTAATAATAATGCAATTGTTTGAAAATTGCAATGACTTAACGGCAACAGAAAATGTAGAGCAGTTTAGAAATATTATCATAAAATTAATATGATATTTATATAGACTGTGCTTACTTTCAAGCTATCATATGAAGAATATGCCATGAATTATAACATAAAAATTTTTATTATAGATTCTATTTCTAGATTATATCATGTAATTTATTTTAATTGAACGTTTACTTTTTTGTGTGTAGCTGTAATGGAGTAACTTATAGAGAAATTTCTAAATGTATGGACTATTTTAATATTAATTAAAAAGTTTTCCTACATTTAAGTCTCTTAAATATTGCCTGTTGAAAGTACTACATACATAAATTATTTAAATGACTCTATATAAAATATATTATAAAATGAAGTATTTAACTTAGCATTCGCGATTTTTATGGAATATATAATTCGCATAGAATGTAATTTATAAAAGAAAAAAAACTAAATAAGTAAAAAAAATGACCTACAATTGAATAGGAAATTTAAAAAAATCAGCATTGCAGCAAATATTAAAATATTATTTTATCGATTTTCTATTTTCTGACACAAATTCTACATATTATATATGATAATAATTTCTCTAGAAAATATGCAATACTAAAATATTCGCACGGATATAATAAATAATGGTACAGTACATAGCGAACACGCCTAAGGCATCTTCTTCATTCATAAAACCAGATGAGTAAATGGAAAACGCACCTAAAATTTGCATTGATGGTGAAAAAAATGTATGTAATAATAATAAAAGTTAAGTTTTAAAGGAGAATACAGATCAGTAATTGTACGAAACATCGGGCATCACTGTGGTTATTTTTTTTAAAAAAAACATACCATCGCAAACATGATCGCACGCTATAAGAACAGAACACGTAAGCAAACAATGACGGTTTGTGTTGCAGGGCTTCAACCTCACACACAAGTATAGTTAACACAGTCGTCGTCTGTCGGCCTGTTATAAAATTCGAACAGGATTTGTCTGTCACGCAGATCTCCATACTGAATCCGTTTTTGTATTTATTTCCGCCGAATCGAGTAAGAGCCAGGAAGTCAGTTGTTCTCGATACAACACATTTCCATTCTTCTGTTACGTCTGTGTGTCAATGGCCTGGTTTCCAGTATCGCTCGCCAGGTGGCATTTTCTGTGGAGGAAACACTTGGGTATGGCGCTGGAGTTCAAAAAAGAGGTACCACCGGCCAGTACAAATATTTAAAAGTAGTAAGGCCGTAAAGTAACGTTGTCGAAATAGCGCGGTATTAAAATAAAATGTTCCCGTGATGACATCATTTTGTTTTGTTCCTCAATTTGGAATTTAGGACGCGCCCGATTTGGGAGGAGGACGGAAAACGTGAGGGAATTATTAAAGAAATTCTTTGTCTTGCCTACTTTCCTTGGAAATTATGATGATACTTTCATTGTTACAACTAAAAATCTTAGAAACACATCCTGGAATAAGACCAATTATTTACGATTTTTTTATATTTTTTTATTTTAAAAAAGGCGTAAAATAAAAAATAAAACTCCAGTCAAACCTTCCTATCATTTCTAATCTGCTATGCTTAGTTAGTGAGTTGAATACTAGCTATTATGTTTCAATTGTCGCTAAAATTTTATTTAGAAAGGTCTAACGAGAGATCCTGATAAATGAATAGGACCATTCATTTACATTTACAGTTCCAGCAATTCAGAATTTTATGAATTCACACCTTATAATCTACATAAGAATACTTTCATGTCGTTTGCTACGAACTAAAATTATATTCATGCAAATGTTAAGCTACAAAAATTTTTTATTAGAAAATAGTGTGTAACTTTAGCCTAATCTTTAAGTCATTATGTATAAAATATTATGACAATTCAGCGAAATTAATAATAATAAAGAAAAAATAAATATGAACTACATAATTGATGACACGAATCTATCTATTTTTCTTGGTTGATATTTTAAAGAATATAACTTTTAAAAGGCTAAATTAATATATTAAAAAATTATCTAATTTTTAATTATTTTCTTAATACGATTTATTAATATTTTATATTTTTTCTGTCTTGTGAACTTGATGCCTAAATATGTTTCTATATGCTTGATAAGATAAAAGGCTATATCTTAGATAAAATTCTTTCTCTGTTATTCAGAATTTTCTCTCTGTTGTATAGTATATAAATAATTTCAGTTCAAAGAAAACACACAGAAAAAAATAAATAAATATAAATTAAATCAACAGGTTTTTAGACGAGTAACCAAACTTAAGTCCACGAAGATCTGAGAATTAATGGATCTAGGCCAGCAATATAAAATTTCAGCAATAATTTATTTATTCGTATGTATATATATTGTTTATTCCCAACTCCTAAGTATATAATTGACCCTCAGCTGTTATCTTCGTGAAAGTTTTAGAAATAAAAATAAAAAAAAAACTAGTAATTTTGTTGGAAACAAGGAACGAAACGGTTTATTACGGACTTTTACTTAATTAAATGGGAATAATACTCTAAACACTCGATTTTATTGCGTGTTATATCGAATACGCTTTTATCGCAAAATAAAAATATAAAACAACTCTCCTAAATTAATAAATAACTCGTATTTTTGATTAATTATAAGTGAAATCCCCTATTGGTTAATGATACGTCACGAAAAAGTAGAAGGAACTAAGAGCCAACGTGGATGTAATTAATCGGCAGGTGGAGATTTGATGTCTTGTCCCGGCCTTGCCTACTAGGCCATCTGAGAACGACAGATGGTTTCCGAACCTCCAAAACTGGTTATCCTCACTCTAACTAACATCTGTCATGTAAGACTGTTAAAAACCTATAGAAAAGAATGCTAGAGTAACGTCACAGAAATTTTGTCCTGGTAAATAGAAAAAAACTCATCGGAAAATATAAAAAAAGGGGAGAGAAATTGTATTATTTAAACGAATCGGTACATTTAACCGACGTACAGAGTCCATTTTTGCCGATGTTATTAACTAACCATATCATTCTCTTATTGGATAATGCACAGAGGTAAGAAACTCTCCCATTGGTTGAAATGTAGGGATTGATAGACGTCCAGACCGCTTCTCAGTAGGTGTGCTGCACGCTGCTGGCTTAAACCGTGTGTCGAGTTGTGTGGAATACGATTTTGTTAGTTATGTCTGTGACAAGAACCGATCATGTCCCATGAGTGCAGGTAAAGTTTCAGGTATTGCTTTAGCTATGACAAGAGTGGGGAACTGTAATGATCAGCCAGTGGGTAATCAAATTTGGACCATACCGACCCTATTCACTTATCCCGGAGAAACTCGCACCAGCGAAGTATATAAAATAGGTGTAAGTATATATTTATATATTTACGTTTAAAGCTTTCAAAAATTCTTCGACTTCTTTACTTTTCTGGTTTTTTTTTAAAGTTTCCTTAATCGTATATGGTTGAAAGACCTTTCAAACAAGACTGAAAACACATTGTTTTAAAGTTTTTTCCCCCTATTATTTCTTTTCTTTTTACTTATCACGCGACTATTTAACGTCCTGTTAGAGAGTAAACTGGACAGGAACAGATACTGATGGAAAATAGCAGGAAGTGTCCCAAGTAAGGACAAATAAAATAAGAAAAAAAAATACCAAGAACCTAATCTAGTAAAATAAACACAGCTTCCTTTTAACTATATGCTTATTTTCGCCGAGTGTAGAATTTTACAAAAACGTGACCTAAGATGATTTTCTTCTCGGAGCGATTCTTTTCTACATTTCTTTCCTAAAAAACAGATTAAAACTCCGTGAAAATTATACATCTTTCTTTAGACAAAATATCCCTCTGGTATAGCAAACACGCGAGGTTCGGGGAAACTAACTCTCGACCTTGCTGTTAACAAAGCGTTTAAGTTCCCCGAGTTTAATTCTTTGCTATTTTTTCCCCCCTCTTAAAAGGGATTATTTTCATAGAATGATAACAACAACACACCAACTGTATAAAACAACGTTACGTGACGCAAAATAACAAAAATAAAAATAGCAAAAATAAAGGTTTTCCTTTACGAAAAGACTTTAAAAAAATTCTTAAAGGAAAATATGTGTAGAAATTTGATTATATTTTATGCTTTTTTTTTTTTATCTCCGAAAGTTACCTCACGCATTATACGCAAGAGGAAATTTTTCTATAAACGACGCCCCTTACAAAATTCCTTGTGTTCTACGGGAGAAGCGGAGAACAATAGCTGTGTGTTGGTATCTTCTTGGCGTAGGTGGGTCTCTTCGACCTCGACCATTATGATGACTCACGTTTTAGTCGCGGTATTTACGACGAAATATGAATTTTTTTCCACATTTTTTTTTTCTACCGTTCGATATCGTACCGAACGTGATACGACTACTCGATGACTGACAATCAAGGTTAAGTGCTAATTCGAGCGAAACTTTTTCCTAAAAATCGATCGGAAATGTTCCGAAAACATTAATGTCGAGTGTTTGCCGTATAACTAATATACCTTAAATGGATTTATAATGTACTACAAGCTCTCAATTGCATGTCTTTTAATTTCCTCGAATTGAGAATTTAAATACACACACACATATATATAAAAAAAAATTACTTAAAATATTATTACAAATAACTCGAACTTTTCTTTAATTATTAAAATGTTTAACCATACCGAAACGAGGAGACGTGAATATTTATGAAAACGCCCTTTCTACTTAAAATCACTTGGTCTACCGTACTGTTAAATTGCCAATTTTCTACTTAACGAGGGACGTGTCAGATGACTCGACGTCACTAGGCGTCACATCCGGTCTAACATAACATTAGAATGGGTGGCACAAGGGCAGAATATGCAATTTGCACGAGACGTGAATCGGCAGTAGGTCGATGGCTAACATCTGTCATATTTACGAGACGTCTGTTTATGTATATATATATATATATCGAAGCATACGTGGGTGTTTGTATATACAAAGAATATCGAGTTGCTGCATACTTCCGAATTCTTTACGCATTCGATTAAATATAAACAAATTACTACATTTTCTACTGGTCGGAATGGAATAATACGAAATATTCGTAGAGTTAATGGTAAAAAATTCGACACAATTGTGAGTTATTCAATAGAAATAAAGTAAAGACAAGAGATCAATTTTTGGTTGGAAAATTAGAAAAGAAAAAAAAAAGTGAGAGGAAGAGAAGTTAAAAATTTAAAAATAAAAAATTCAGGAAGATGAGAAATTTGAAATAAAAAGAAGAAGAAGAAAAAAAAAAACGAAATGAGCGATTGAATGCGAAAAATCGAGAGGAAAAAACAATAGGAAACGTTCGGAATCGAATTACAGAACAACGAAATAAAACAATCATAAAATATGAAACTTTCAGAAAATGAAAAGAAGAAATTAATTTTGAATTAAAAAAGAACAAGGATGTGAAATTTGAGCTGTTATTATTATGGTCGAGACGTTTCGTAAATCGAAGGAAATTTAAATAAAACACGCATACTCTTTTTTTTTTTTCATTTAATTGAAAGTTTAAGAACAATTAATAATAAAGCGTCCAGGTGTAAAAACTTCATTCGTCATTAGTCACAGTTGGCAAAACGTCGAAGCGAAGGCGTGAGACGTGCATTCTTTCACACGATTTGGTTCCGATAATCCTCGGAAAACGGGTAAATTCCTTCGACTTTGTAGAAGCTGGATACGGACTTTGATTTATACATACATATATATATATATAGCAATTTATTTTTTTAATATAACATTTCCGACTGAGAAAAAGAGTACTTTAAAACTGATTTAGTTTGGTGGCGTTTTGAGTACGAAGCTCCATTTGGGAGCTTCTACAAACCATGTGGGCATTAAGACGAAACTTTATTTGTTATTGTAATTCCGAATTTAAAACCAATGGAATAAATCTGACCGATTTTAATAACGAATCTCAACTGGTTGGTATTATTTAATTGCATGTTATTATAGCTCATTATCCGATCGAAGCAGACCGGACGTCCTTTGACTTTATTGACCTTCAACTCTAGAAAGAATCTCTCTCTAATTAAGTCAGAAAAAATCTTTTTATGCATTTCTGTAAACCATCGGTTGCACGCATTAATACCATTAATTAACAATATCAAAATATAACGCTTTCTTAATCATTTAGCTGGAGAGAAGCTTTTGAAATCGGCTGGGATGAAAAATAAGAAGAACATTAATGAGGGAGAGAGAGAGATATATTTCCAATTTGTTGGCGATATTAATTGATGCGCGTTTTAATTAAAACGTTGTTTATACGAAGATTTTTTTCTTTCTCTCTCTCCGGCTTTTGAATTAAGTGCGAATTAATTATCATTAACTCGATTAGATTTCGCAGGAAATTTAATTTGTATATCCAAGGTCGTGAACCGCGCTTTTAGTCCCCATATCCATAAGTTAATGGTTTGAGTGAAATATAATGTCTGCGTGCAGCTACGGCATGCAAACCGTTCTTTGCATCAATTAATATTGCAAAACAAATTTCTTTTTTCCTTCACGAGCTTCGTGCATTCCGGTATACACTCTATATATCACTGGTTTAAAACTTTGCCCGTTTATTGGTAGTAAATGACTCGAATTTCAAGGAATTTTTCACTCAGACTTACCAGAAAAGTACGGCACTCCTGGAAATTAGCATATGGAAATGTACTACTACTAAGAGATTATTATTGTTTTGAATTTTCTAGTGTCGCGTTTTTATCGATTCAGCGACATTAATTAGTAAAATTTGAATACGGAATTAATTTAAATTGGCAAAATAATTAATTCCTAATTAAAAATTTCTAGATAAATATATATACAAAGTTTATTTTAATTAAAGTAAAGGACTTAACGAGGGAAGGGGAGGGGACGGGAGGGGGTTGGTAACTTTCGTCTCCCGTATCGAAATAATTAATTAAATATTATTTAATATTTTGAAGTAGGCCTAATCATTAATTTTCGCCATCTTCTCCATCCATCAAAACAATACTTTTTGTATCGAGGTGAATTTAAACGATAAGAAAACGAGGGAAAAAGTACGGAAGATCATCAATCACTACCGACGTCCCGGCACATCTTGTCAAAAATTGACAATTCGCATCATTCAAGAATGATCGAAAATGAATTCTTGGACCTTTTCCAAATTGATTATTCCCGGAATAATATAATAAATCAACCAAAATAATATCAATTAAGAAACATTCGACCGATCTCTACGACAATCGACTCATAATAAAACAATTAAGAACCTTATACCAGGCGACGAAATCTTATTTTTCGTCGACAGTATTACAGTACTTTTGTTTCGATCTGGATATAATCAGCCGTTTAAACAAAATGGCGTCGCTGCGGGCTGAATTATGAATTCCGTCTGGCCTTTCTCGGCTCACTTCATCTTTATCCGTTTGCATTCAACCCCGTAGAACGTCTATATAATTTAATGGAACATCAGACATGTTTGTCGATAAGATCAACCGTCGCCATCTTAACCGTGTAGGAAGAAAAGGAAGGCGAAAAAAAAAACTTTCAAATCGTCCTCCTCATCTTGATAATCTTGTTTTACGTCATGGAAACCGGAAAAGAAATGTTTGAAAAAATTTTAATAGACGTTTTCTTTCGTATTCACTTTACTTTCTTTGTTGTAAGCATTCTACCACGTTGCTGCCGAATATTTGTTAAAGTTTTACGATGGAATAATAAAAAGTAAGACGGGGAAAGGAAAAAAAAGGTGAAAAATTAGATTTAGCAGAAGACGACGATTCTTGTATTTTTGGCAACGGTGCCGTACGATCGACGACAAAATTAACTAGCAAATAAATTTACAAAATGCGAAATGCTTTTAAGAGAAAAATCAATATTAAGCAAACAAGATGCATATTTTGCATGTGAACGAGTCGTTAAGTCCAACAAATTGCTAAAGTCTGATATCACCTGTTTGTTTTCCCATAATTTTTCCAACCAAATCGTTACTCTATTGCATTATTATTGTCCTTTTTTTATAGTCTCGATCTTAATGAAAGACTTTTACGCAATTTATTTTATTTTTCTTTTGTTGTTTTTATTACTCATCGCGTATCCTGCGTTTATCGGGTTTCTCTATAATTATTATTAACAATAACAAAATTTTCATCCCTTTCACGAAAATGGAAGTCCTTTAATATTTCCAAGGTATCGTCGTAGTAATTATTAACAAATAATTCGAAACTTCAGCTGAAGGGCCAAAGATAAAGTACTAAAAATATGAACACCTGTCCTATTGGCATCCTCGTAAAACTTTACTTTTATAACTAAGCTTCTTACGTTGTTAATGTGGTTTTAAAGCTAGACGTATCCGTGTGTAATAATTGTGTTGGAATTTTAGTTGACCTTTCGACTAGGTTTTTTTTTTCTTTTCTTTTCTCTAAGAAGTTCTATTTGTGATCCATACAGGTCTTCTCACCGTAAGGGGCAGATTGGCCGGCAGGTGTTCTATCCTGCTCCAAATGAATTCGGGGCCTCAAAATGGGTGGATCTAAGTCCCATTCGAAATTTGCCACTTAGATCTTTAATTATATTAATATGTGTTTTGATAGTTTTATGAATGACAGTGAGTTCGCCGGCCTGATTGATTACTTTTATTTTTTCAAGTCAATAATGGGAATAAAAATATTATATTAGTAAATTCTTTCATCAGTTAGTTACACGAGTAAGTGTCCTCTTCTTTGCTTTTTACAAAGCTATTAAGCTGAAAACTTTTCCATCTAGCTAATAAGAAGGGATTTATTTGTGTGGTTCTTATCGTGTAAGGAAAATATTATAAGCATTGTAAATTTACAAATTGCCGTATTGTTGCCGAAAATAATTACATTCGGTAGGAAAGACACCGATTTACAAATATCTATTCAAACGAAAACCGCAGAATGTTCATAGAAAAACGTTGTTATATGTATCGAGTTCAAGAACCCAGAATTTCGCCTCTGCCAGTTTCAATTATTTATTTTATTATAAACATTTTTATTTTATCCAAATCCAAAATTCATTTTAATTAAATCTGCAAATTCCCTTTATATTTAGATTATTCAAGTAAAGGTCTTCAGGCCGGATCCCGTTCACAATAGATCCACGAATATAATCTACAATAGCCTACACACAAAAGACATAGCAGGATATCGATAATTATTATTAAATACAAATACGTAAATACGATATTCTTATTCATTTATTAACGTAATCTAACTTTTACCTGTCTTTTACTTTAAAAAAAAGTAGGCCTAGCCCATTATAACTCACGTTAAAACGATTGCCGGCGGACATACTAAGTTGTGTAACCTTAGACCATTCATTATTAATGAATGAAAAAAAATAGATAAATAAAAATAAATTTAGATATAAAATTGTTAAAGAATTTAATCTTTTTTTTTTAAATTTACATTTGCATTCTCATTCATTAAGAATTTACAATGTTATTTAATGTGTTAATGAAAATGACCAGCGCAGATTTATCTGTAGCTTTGGTAGAAAAATAAAAGCGGTAAACTCGCCGAAAATATTGATTAAAAAAATGTAATAAAGTAAGCCAAACTTATCTTTAGAACAGAAAGAAAGAAAGAAATATTATGGATTTATCTTTAGAGGATAGAAAAGTCTACAGATTTACACGGAACTAGTAAAAATAAAGCTGTAGATTTATCCATCGAACTATGAAAAGATTTATTTAAGGCCTTTTACGGGTGCAAAAATGAAAGTAGAATTAGTTATTGGTTTGAGTTTTTTTTTACCTTTTAACAAAGGCTTCGATAATAATAAAGTATAAGGAACGGCCGAATGTTAATATAGAGAGAAGTTTTTAACTATAAGAGAACTGTCGTTTACCAAACGGGAGAAGAAGGAGGAATTTTCTCTCTCGCAATGTCATCTAAACTACTTTACGACGAAATTACCCCTAGACAATGCAGAAAAAGCATTTTAAAGCTAAACTTAATAGTCTTAGATTCCCGTCAAATAACTTAATAGTATGCAATTTTGTTTTCATTGGATAAGCGAAGAAGGATCGTAATTATTATTTATGAATAGTATTTTTATTTTAAAGTTAATGGAGACAATGATAAGAATTTTATTTGATTTCAGGTCGACAATCCCGCCTACTTCGACAGCGAATGTCAGAGTGCGGATCGAGATTCGGCCGTGGCCACGGTGGTGACCACACCGGCTAAATTAAAAAAACAACCGTGGCTGAGATTATGGAAATTGAGTTTTATAAAAAGCGAAAAAGTTCGTCAACGTCGGACGTTGGCTCTCATGGTCATCTTCGTCGTCATCCTCATCGTCTTGGTGGTGGCCGTCGGTCTGGCTATTTATTTATCCAGTGAGTATTCTCTACGTTTCCCTGCCAGTAAAAAAGAAAATGGCGTAACCAATTTTATCCCCGCAGTGAGAGACATGGGATGGAGTTGGCCCACGCAAGAAGAGAGATCGACAGAAATCGAAGGTAAGGGGTTCCGCTTGCTTGAACTCGAATTGCTCTTGTAAATAAGTTAAATCGCTTAATCAAACCGACGTCAAGTAGTCAGTCAAACTCGCTTTTATTCGCTCGGTTAACGCAGATTTTCTACAATTATTAGCGAGGTTGCGGCAGAAGTTTTCAACTCTAAAACGTGAACTTCGAACGTCGAGCGCCGCTATCTTGTAAGCGGAGCTCGACGTTCGAAGTTCACGTTTTAGAGATGAAAACGTCGGNCTCTTTTATTTATATAGCGGAATATTTAATAAATGATAAGCATCGGTCCAATGTATTTTCAATGTTAAACCTTACCGAGATTAATTTTAGCGATTTTTAAGTCGAGTTTAATATGACGTCCAAGAAGCCATTAAAGAAAAAAAAAACAGCGTGATAAATTATCTATATTACAATCTTACTGCATTATATTATCTATTAAAACTTAATTTATCTCCCGTTCTGTTCTTGCATTCCTAAGATTTCGCGTTAAGCCAACTGCCCATCATTTATTTCATTTTAAAAGAGGCGCGATCGTACATAAATACAATCGAATGTAACGAATAATATCCATTTATCTATGAACAAGTGAATGTCAACTTGCTAGCGATTGATTCGCGTGACGACATCTTCGCGTGAAGCTACATAATTCTGTCACGAAATCATATACTTTAGGCGTTTGTTCACATGATCCAATATTAAGCCATATCGAGATAACAAAACTTCAATAAGCACGTTACTTACTTTTTTTTTACCCCCACGTGAAATTCAACAGGTGATTTAATTTCTTGTAACACCGGAAAGTATCGCCTTTTTGCACATAACGACGGCTATAAAAAAATACCCAAGGGTGTTGTTTAACAAGTCTCGAAACCTGTCGTGTAATGCGAATTTAATATTTTATTTAGGTCTGAAGGCTTAATACTAAACTTTTTATTTATTTTTTCGTGTAACATTTAAGAAGCAGTGCATGAAACAACGATTTTACGTATTGAATTCGTCATGGAAATATACATTGATTTCCATTTTCTTTCACCACCTGGCAACGTCACAGGAAATCGAGAGGGGATATTTAGGACAGATGGCAACGCGATGCCACCTGGCAAGCGGATGTTATCGATAATTTACCGGAAAGGTTCCTATAAACACATTGGTTAAAACTAGTAAGAACCTTTACCGATCTAAAAAAAAAAATTTTTTTTGGTCAGACACACAGTACAACTCACCGACTGTAAAATTTCTGCCACTAAACGTATGTATTGTGGACTTGTGGGATTGGCTAAATCCGGCGTGTACACCCTGTTCGTTATTCTAAAGTTTCCTGCAACGGCCCAGTTTTCTGAAAATAAAGAATTATAAACGATTATTTATTAAAATAATTAAATATATAAATCATTTATTTATAAATAAACGCGCCGATACGACCTATATTTATATAATGGGGTGATTATACGGTTTAGAGACGTTACGTTCGTTTCCAGATGGTGATACAACAGTTACTCAACTATTAATACAAAGTAGAACACACGAACTTATATTCATTATAATAACTTGTGTATGTGATATTGTTCTTATTGAAAGCTTGCCTTTGTAACAGTCTTGGTACAATTGCGAAGATACGTATATATGCTTGTAACGAAAGTGATTAGAAAACAGATGGCAATTCATATTTTACAGTGTGCAAGGTGTTTTTATGCTTATTGTCTACCGTCTTCAGACACAAATAAAACCAGAATCGGCTATTGCAAACTAAACAAACGAGCTGACGGTGTCTTATCTCTCGGCAAGGCTGGTCACGAATCCACCCAACTAATGTATGTAAGGACACGGACCCGGGTTCTCACTCTGGCTCGATGGGTCAACTACCTTTGAACTGGCTTCTCACGTGTCACGACATTGTTCCGTTTTGGCAGACTAATAGTTGGTAGATAAAGTGGTGTCGTCTGATACGAATGCGGGTAGAAAACTTTTATCTTCCTTTCGAATTTGCGGAGGCAACATTCTTCTTTTTATCTCTACTTTTCGACTATTGTTCTAACTGTAATGACGCCAATGGCAGAGGGGCGGTGCTTTAGAGGATGTGCGTGGCTAATTTTCGGTGATTGTGTTGTTAAGAGCTCTTCTAAGCGTCATTTTTACCAGTTTCGGACAATCGGTCGGCATTCTTTTATTGTTTGCAAGAGCTTTAAAAATTAAAACACCCACCGTTTTCTCTAAATGGAATGCTATATTATCTCGTTATATATATATATATATATAACGAGATAATATAGCATTCCATTTAGAGAAAACGGTGGGTGTTTTAATTTTTAAAGCTCTTGCAAACAATAAAAGAATGCCGACCGATTGTCCGAAACTGGTAAAAATGACGCTTAGAAGAGCTCTTAACAACACAATCACCGAAAATTAGCCACGCACATCCTCTAAAGCACCGCCCCTCTGCCATTGGCGTCATTACAGTTAGAACAATAGTCGAAAAGTAGAGATAAAAAGAAGAATGTTGCCTCCGCAAATTCGAAAGGAAGATAAAAGTTTTCTACCCGCATTCGTATCAGACGACACCACTTTATCTACCAACTATTAGTCTGCCAAAACGGAACAATGTCGTGACACGTGAGAAGCCAGTTCAAAGGTAGTTGACCCATCGAGCCAGAGTGAGAACCCGGGTCCGTGTCCTTACATACATTAGTTGGGTGGATTCGTGACCAGCCTTGCCGAGAGATAAGACACCGTCAGCTCGTTTGTTTAGTTTGCAATAGCCGATTCTGGTTTTATTTGTGTCTGAAGACGGTAGACAATAAGCATAAAAACACCTTGCACACTGTAAAATATGAATTGCCATCTGTTTTCTAATCACTTTCGTTACAAGCATATATACGTATCTTCGCAATTGTACCAAGACTGTTACAAAGGCAAGCTTTCAATAAGAACAATATCACATACACAAGTTATTATAATGAATATAAGTTCGTGTGTTCTACTTTGTATTAATAGTTGAGTAACTGTTGTATCACCATCTGGAAACGAACGTAACGTCTCTAAACCGTATAATCACCCCATTATATAAATATAGGTCGTATCGGCGCGTTTATTTATAAATAAATGATTTATATATTTAATTATTTTAATAAATAATCGTTTATAATTCTTTATTTTCAGAAAACTGGGCCGTTGCAGGAAACTTTAGAATAACGAACAGGGTGTACACGCCGGATTTAGCCAATCCCACAAGTCCACAATACATACGTTTAGTGGCAGAAATTTTACAGTCGGTGAGTTGTACTGTGTGTCTGACCAAAAAAAAATTTTTTTTTTAGATCGGTAAAGGTTCTTACTAGTTTTAACCAATGTGTTTATAGGAACCTTTCCGGTAAATTATCGATAACATCCGCTTGCCAGGTGGCATCGCGTTGCCATCTGTCCTAAATATCCCCTCTCGATTTCCTGTGACGTTGCCAGGTGGTGAAAGAAAATGGAAATCAATGTATATTTCCATGACGAATTCAATACGTAAAATCGTTGTTTCATGCACTGCTTCTTAAATGTTACACGAAAAAATAAATAAAAAGTTTAGTATTAAGCCTTCAGACCTAAATAAAATATTAAATTCGCATTACACGACAGGTTTCGAGACTTGTTAAACAACACCCTTGGGTATTTTTTTATAGCCGTCGTTATGTGCAAAAAGGCGATACTTTCCGGTGTTACAAGAAATTAAATCACCTGTTGAATTTCACGTGGGGGTAAAAAAAAAGTAAGTAACGTGCTTATTGAAGTTTTGTTATCTCGATATGGCTTAATATTGGATCATGTGAACAAACGCCTAAAGTATATGATTTCGTGACAGAATTATGTAGCTTCACGCGAAGATGTCGTCACGCGAATCAATCGCTAGCAAGTTGACATTCACTTGTTCATAGATAAATGGATATTATTCGTTACATTCGATTGTATTTATGTACGATCGCGCCTCTTTTAAAATGAAATAAATGATGGGCAGTTGGCTTAACGCGAAATCTTAGGAATGCAAGAACAGAACGGGAGATAAATTAAGTTTTAATAGATAATATAATGCAGTAAGATTGTAATATAGATAATTTATCACGCTGTTTTTTTTTTCTTTAATGGCTTCTTGGACGTCATATTAAACTCGACTTAAAAATCGCTAAAATTAATCTCGGTAAGGTTTAACATTGAAAATACATTGGACCGATGCTTATCATTTATTAAATATTCCGCTATATAAATAAAAGAGCTCAAACCAGTCTCCGTTTTTAACGTATGGTAGATTGGTCTGCACAGCAGATAGCAATTCGATCGTCCGTATCAATACAGAACCTGTTTGGTGACATTTACTTTACTGATCTGTCAATCGAAACTTGGGTCCCTTACCACAGTTCACTAACCGGGATACAAATAACACCCTGTGACTGGAATGGGCTAGAGATCTCGGCGGAAAAAAAAAGAAAAAAAATCTAGTTATAGATCCCATCAAATTCTATTCATTAATGGCATCTCTCCTTCGATTATACACTCGCCCTGTTCGTAAAACTGTTATTATAATTATAATACAAATGTAAATACATCTGTCCATAAAACTGTATATATTTGCATTATTATAATCAGATATTATAATCAACTTTGATATATTGTTATGCATGAAGACACATTTACAAAGAATTAATTTGCTGCCATAAACTCT